TTTTTTAGCTCCATAGCTTTCTTGTGGGCCTCCCCTTTGGCTTTTTCTTCTTTTTTTTTTCAGCTCTATCTCTTTTTTTTTTAGCTCCATAGCTTTCTTGTGGGCCTCCCCTTTGGCTTTTTCTTCTTTTTTTTTTCAGCTCTATCTCTTTTTTTTTTAGCTCCATAGCTTTCTTGTGGGCCTCCTCTTTTGCTTTTGCTTTTTTGGTAGTCATTTTTCTGTTTTTTTGTGCTGGGTCACACCCCTCTGCAGTTGACTGAAACTGGGATGCTCTCAGCTTTGGCTGCTGCTGAGTTAACAGAGACTTTCTAACTAGCTACTCCCGAGGATGTAAAAGAAAAAAAAAACAATTCAGCTTGTAAATTCCTTTTACCAGTCATTTGCTCATTAATTGAACACTTTTCTTAACATAGGCTCTTGTTAAAAAAAACTTAACACCTCTGCCTTCAAGCAAGGAGAGATAAGATATGCATCTACCTTCAGCTCTGCTTTCCAAGCAGCTAGAAGGAAAAAAAAATCTTACTGGCTTTTGGGTTTAAAATTAATCCCACCGCTGCCACCATGTCAAGGCTGTATCCCCACTTTGAACTTTAGGGTACAATGTGGGGGCATGCATGAAGACTTCTAAGCTTAACTACCAGCTTAGCTCTGGTCCGCTGCCACCATCTCAAGCTAATTCCCTTCCCTGGGATGCCTTGAGAAACCTTTCACCCATTTCCTGGTGAATACAGATCCAAACGCCTTGGATCTTAAAACAAGGAGAAATTAACCAGTCCCCTCCTCCCACCAACTCCTGGTGAATACAGATCCAACACCCTTGGATCTAAAAACAAGGAAAAATCAATTAGGTTCTTAAAAAGAAGGCTTTTAATTAAAGAAAAAGGTAAAAATCATCTCTGTAAAATCAGTATGGAAAATAACTTTACAGGGTAATCAAACTTAAAGAGCTCAGAGGACTCCCCTCTAGTCTTAGGTTCAAAGTACAGCAAACCAAGATAAACACTCTAGTAAAAGGTACATTTACAAGTTGAGAAAACAAAGGAAAACTAACACGCCTTGCCTGGCTATTTACTTACAAGTTTGAAATAGGAGAGACTTGTTTAGAAAGATGTGGAGAACCTGGATTAATGTCTGGTCCCTCTCAGTCCCAAGAGCGAACGAAAAAAACAAACAAAGAGCACAAACAAAAGCCTCTCCCCCCCCAACCCCCCCCAAGGTTTGGAAGTATCTTTTCCCCTTATTGGTCCTTAGGGTCAGATGCCAGCCAGGTACCTGAGCTTCTTAACCCTTTACAGGAAAAAGGATTTTGGAGTCTCTGGCCAGGAGGGATTTTATAGTACTGTACACAGGACAGCTGTTACACCCTTCCCTTTATCGTTATGACACTACCCATAACTATTTAATCTTCTAAAGGACCGAAGTAACTATAGCCCCATGAGGAAAGTTACATAAAGGAGTGTTTATGTAATTTACTTGGAAGTGTGGTCTACCGGATTAAGTGTGTGGAACTGAGAGTCAGAAATGTGAAGTCAGATCCTCAGCTAATGGGAATCAGGGTTGCTTTATTGACTACAATGGAACTATGCCAATTTACTCTAGCTGAGGCTCTGGCCCCTTGTTCTTTATCCTAATTCCATAACTACTTCATTGTATGATCTTGGCCAAGTCACTTAATTTATCTATGCCTACCTTGAATGCACAATGGGAATAATGCTATTTAGTCTGTAATCATTAGTCTGTAAAATACCTCTGTATCTTTGTATGAGCTATTCTGGATAAATGCAACATATCAAGTGCTCACAGTATGGCAGAGCTAGGAAAAGTACTCAGGAGCTTTTCTTGCTCCCAGAACCCACTCAAGCCAATATTTCTGTCTCTGTAGCCAGAATTTCTCATAACAGACATACCCTGGGAGCTTCCAAGGCATCTTTTTAGATATGACATTGAAAAAAATTACAAGAATTCTCAAAAGCAATGCTTCTCTGGTTGTCCAGACTCTCCTGTCTCCAAAATACCGTGTTTGATTCCTCTCAAACTTTACTCCTCTGGCTGGGGACACATGGGAAACTTCTACTGGATTGGTTGAGTTTTGTTGAAGTTAAGGCAGAGGTTTAAAATCAGGTATTTAATGGAAAGTGAGTCTCTTAATTATGGAGAAAAGCTATTGCCTTTCCTTTCTTTCAACAAATATTAGGTGAGGTGATTAATCCCTTCATAAAAATCTCTCCATGTTAGGAACTTCTTCTGGTCTAGTAACCAAACCTCCATCTTCTACCTTGCTTAATCACCCTGCGGCAGCACTTCTCTGATTTTAACACCACAGATGTTGCTCCACTTGCACAATCAACTGCTCTTTCTCTAAAGGAATCTTTGAGTTTTGCAAATCTGCATGCTGTTTTGTAATTCATTTGCTGTGTTAGCAAACCATGAGCTGATTTTCTAACATACAGATGCAAGAAAGGGAATGCATATCCTTCCTTTTTAGTCGACTAAACACCATGACTTGAAAGACAGTCAGGCATGTTCAGAGGAGACTTAAAGCAAAAAATAGATCTCAGCCTTTAAAGCCTTCTGGCAAATGTACAGAGAAAGAGAACACCATTATCATTAGAATTTATTCAGGGCTCAAAGTGTACTAAGTGCTTTACAAACATAAGGAGAGAAGGTCCCTGAACTGAGCAGCATACAGTCAGAATAGATGAGGAGTCGCCCAGGAAGGGAATGGTCTGTTAATAATGTAACAAAATTGTTTTTCATGCCTCACTATTTAATAATCTAATTATTCAAAGCCAGACTGTGTGTTTATGGCACTGGGTTGGGGATTGTGCAGAGCTCGAAAAGGAGCACAATAAAGCACAATCTGTCCTGGAGTCAATGTGAGTGCCCCTGTATGAGAGTTTATCATGTTCCCTGCTCTGCAAATAACCAAGGGCCACTCAAAAGAATTTAGGTGCCTAAAGTCCAAAATGTAGGCACCACTGAGATCGTCAAAATCCTGTTCAGCTGCCGCCTAACCCTTGAGGCAACTCAATTTTTGCTGTAAAAATCCTAAAGGCACTGAGCATGCACCCTGCTGCCCCAAGCAGGCGTCCAAGCACCTATCTTTCGCCTAAGCCTCTGTGCAATCCTCAAACCAGGGGAAGACAGGCATTCCCCCTCCTAGCTCGCTTGCAAGGCCTGATCCAGGAGACATGCTCAGACGCACCAAACTGTACACAATGGTAGTTGGGAGAAAGGGAGGCTGCCCTTATAGCCCATGATGTGGGAGATACTGGTTCAGTTCTGTCCTCTACATGATGTGGCCAAGGGATTTGAATTTAGGTTTTAAGTCTTCCAAGAGACTGCCCTAGCCACTGGACTATGGGATGTTTTGATATAGGGCTCTCTCACACTTGCCTCTTGAAGCTGTTATATAATTATTTATACACAAAATATACACTGGGCCAGCAAGACAATGGCTCTATAGTTCTGTGATTGGGGCATTCGTCAAAGAGGTGGGAAACCCACATTCAAATTCCTTCTCCTCAGCCCCAGGGGGGAACTGAACTAGTGTCTCCCACATCCCAAGTGAGTGCTATAACCGCTGGGTGAAAGTTTATAAAGGAGGTCCTCCCTTCCCCCCTGCCCAGCCAGTTGGTATGGACTTAGGCATGTGCCACTGCATTTCTGGCAAAAAATGGCTTAAGAGCATGATTCCAGGAGACAATTCCAGGCTGTGAATCCCAAGCAGAAATAAGAGCCTCCTTCCATCCTGGATTTAGGTGCCTAAGACCCAGAGAGGGGTGATTCTTAGGACACACCCCTCTCCTCAGTATCTGCTAGTGGTTGGTTAGACAGCTCCATGCCCTAGTGTGTGGGCTTTTGTGGATCCCATTCTCAGGCACGTATCTCTCCCCATGCATTTTATAGGGAGCCTGTGTGCCCAACTCAGGTTTTGTGGATTCCACTGGGTAGCCAGACACCTAAAGTTTAGGCATTGAACTGGACTGCATTGCCATGCCTAAGTCTCTTTGTGGATTAGGGCCCAATTCTTTTGGACAACGCTGGGAGGAGGAGCTAGGGCTATGGTCCTGCTTCATGCCCACCTCTGCTCTGCAGAGAGCAGTCCATGTGTAGGAGCTGTGATCTTCCCTGGCCCTTGAGTAGTTCTTGCACCCTATACCCTTTCAGCACGTGTGACCCTCCATGGAGGTCAGTCTATCAGATGCCTAATTGAGTCATTAAGGTTGGTGAAGTATCCTTATTACAGAAAATGAAGTCCTCCATTACTCTTCCTACAACGTGCTGATGAAAATGCATCCAGAAATGGTGTCGAGAATGCATACATTGGTCTGGAATTTGTCGTGGATAGAAAATAAAAAGTTCCATAGGCCAGGATCATGTTATGGTTCCTCTTATTATAAAATGAGAATACATGTGCATATTTGTGTCTGAGATTAGGGGGAAATGCCCCAGTTGGATTCCAGTGCCACAAACTATCTGTGCTGGGACTCTCCCAACATAAAAAGAGTTATTTCATTGTCTTCTCACAGATCCACTGGTTTTGTTGGTGACAAGATGCAGGACTCACTTCTCCAGCTCTGATAACTGCACAGTCATTTTCATACTCCAATGTGTTTGGTTTCAGAGTAAATCTGGGTAAAGAGAAATAACCAAAAAAGAAGCTGAACTGTTGAACTAAATCCTTATTTTAATTTCTTTATGTGCATGCACATGCATACACAAGTGTCTCCCTTCTTCCCGTTCCTCCTCTAATAAGGAAATATCTCCCTCTCCCACAAAGCACAGAATCTGCTAATATTATTCCCCATAACAGCCCCAGGGAGAAAACTCTGTCCTGTCTGACACTAATGCAGACTTTGATGACAAACACAGTTCTTCTGAGACAGCTTCAATGAAATTCCAGACTGAAGGAGCCCTCTCCCCATGTGACAATGGCACTGACTTCTTCAGTAAACACTGTTCACTTGACAAAGTCACAGGAAATCACATCCTGTTTTCAGAGGGGATTCTAGTACTATCCACAATTAACTAGAAGTTGCATTGGTAGATTCACTTACATTCATTTAGTCAGATTCTCATCTTGAGCACATTGGCATAAATATGCATTTACACGCATATAAATGATGATGCTCTGGCCCATTATGTTTATTAGCTATAAGAGAAAAGAAGAAACATACAGGTCTCTTGTAAGCTCTGTTTTGTCAATCCAGTACCATCTCTTCTCCATCTCTGAGTAAGTTAGTCCAATGAAATAATCAGCATCCCTTGTTTTATTACGAAGAAACTCCTGACAAGGAAAGGAAGTGCGTGGTAAATCAGTGACACACAGGAAATGTGAGAGGAAAATCCAAAGAGTGTCTCCTTTATCCTGCTCTTACCACTGTGTCTGTAATGGCTGTGGGAGCCAGGAACCAGGTTATCATCTGAATTGAGAGTAACTGGAGAAATGTTATCTTCTTCATTTTGCCAGCTACAATTACTTTGCAAACCAATGATCTACCCTTGTGTATAACTCTGCAATTCACACTTAAGCTCATTCCTCTTGGCAACCAAATGTCCCTTGACGTAGTTGCAATGCGGTTAATATGTGTAGTGCAGACAGGACTCGCCTTTTTGCTAGTGACTGTGTTGAATCCTGGAATAATTCAGGTAAAATTAGGATATTGGGATATGATTCTAGTGCAAATTTTCCTGGGCCCTAGCTTGGATACATGAGGTTATGAGGATGGAAGGAGTTTTCCCCCATCTTGGCTTACTCCGAACAAGAACAAGGGATGATCGCAGCTTCTGCACATGAGATGAATAGAGAGATTGCTTCCTCTCTGCAACCTGGGGTATACAAATCACCCCAAGAGGAGTGAGGTGGGATGGGGAGGAGGTGAGACACTAGAGCTAGCCAGGGATACTGAGGGGAGCAGGGTATACCATCCCAAGTTACATACTACAAAGCTAAATAGTTCAATCTAATCCTCTAAGACTTAGCTGTGCTATAATGAGGTCCTTTGATGTGGTTATACTTGGAGGGCCAGATCCTCAGCTGGTGTAAATTGATGTAGCTCTGAACGCTTAGTGTAGATGAGGCCTTACAGTGAGTGTGAAACATTAGTTTACACATTGTGTGAGGTTACTTTGCCTTAGGTTACTGAATCTCATTGTTGTCAAAGGATGCACATGCATGGTTGGATACTTGATTAATCGGAGATCAGAGAGATGTATCTCATTCCTCTGAGGCCTCCGATCAGGACCTCTGCTGTGGCTGCATTTTCTCAAACTCTGAGGCTTCTCCTGGTGCTTTGCAGAATGCAGCATGTTGATAACAAAATGGTGGGTGACTGAGGTATTGGGGGGACAGGTGGGCCCAGGAAAGGATGTCTTTCTTTGGAAGAGATGCTCATAATGAAGGAGTTGGAGAAAAACTGCTATACAGATTCAGACTAACATGGCTACCCCTCTGATGCTATACAGATGACTGTGTCTGGCATCAACAGCATACAGAGACCCAGTGCTCTGGTCATGGAAAGCTGTCTGCAGCAGGAAGGACTGATTACAAACCAGAGCATTGTAGGCTTAGGTTCAGATCCTCAAAGGTTTCAATGGGAGTTAGGCACCTAAGTACATTTGAGGATCTGGGCATTCAGCATAATCTCAATTCCCACAAAGCAGTGTTTGATCTTACCATCTCTTTTCTGTCACTGATGACAACTAGATCCGAGCTCTGGTCATCACACTCTGTTCGGCTGGAACTCCAGACCTCTTTGGCTTTAGAAAATAAGTAGTAATTCCCTCGGTGCCCCTCCCACTGTAGGGGCTTAGCTGTAGAAGGGGACATGACTACACAGAAAAACATAGAATTTTGAACAGAAATGAAGAGACAGTCAACTTATAAAATAAATCACAGAGAAATGAGAGGCAAAAATCTTATTTACAGCTGGGAAACTCCCTACCCTTCCAATGCCTACAGGACACCACTGGAAAGGCAGGGAAGCCCAGTGGTCAGGTGGATAAATGCCAGTAAAGGATTCACTACAGGTCAGCCATAGTACAGCAGAACTGTAGATATGTCTAACTGGCTCTGAATCAGCTGCTACTCAGTCTATTCAGTTACACACACATTAACCGCACCAGGAATCTGGTTGACTCATCTCTGAAATTGGTCCTATGTGTTTTATTTTCAAGATGTCACATCTATATAGATTAAATATATAGATTAGACTATGTATGCATTAGATGTATATATTAGATGGGGGTTATTTGAATTTCTACTTGAATTAAGTTAAACATTATTGAATTAAGTTTAATACCTGTGAGATCTATTGCATTAAAAATGCAATAGTTTATGTGTTACTGTAGGATTGTATGTAACTTTTTCAGAAAACTGACTAATGTAAACCTTGGGAATATGTTAGGAACTTTAAAAAACTGCTTGGGATAATACATATGAAGTGGGTTTCCTACCAGGTACCTGGAAGGCCTTTGAAGCTACACCCTGAGAATAAAAACCTATTGTCTACTGATTACCTGCTCCTGGGAGAAAAAGCAAGCAGGTCTGCTTAGGCAGTCTGTCTTTTGCTGGAAATACCACAATAAAGGCAAATAACTGTTCAGCCTAAAAATATCCTGGTTAAAAAAAAAAAAAGAGAGCGAGAGAGAGAGACGTGTCTCCACCCAAGAGAGGTGAGGGCCAGGGGAGTCGAAAGCCTGGAAGTGGATGTCCTTGCTGAATCCCTGAGGGGAAATACAAGTGCAGTTGCCCTAAACTGTGACATTAGAGCTGCACCCCAGCTGCAGACTCTGCATCCAGGCCTCAAACCCGCCAAAGCTCATGAGTGTTTGCATCTGGAGTTTTATGTCAGCACATTATAGAGAAAGAGACTAGATGTGATAGATATTGGATACAGATTCATATTTCAAATACCTCCCAATACATGCAGTTTGGGGTGCTTTGGGTTGGAGGGGAGGTTTGGTTCAATTAAATAAACATAGCTGTGTGGGGCGGGGGTGAGTGGATGCGAGTGTGTGAATTTGACATAAGTGGGAATGAAGGAGTATGGGTAAGGGCAAAATTTGTCCCTAAGGACTAAACTCAGACTTTGTGTAAACAGGTTCAACCCTGTGTGGGCCAGAAATGGCTCTCATTTCCAACTGTATAAATCTGAAGGAAGTCACTTACTTTCACTGAGTTAACTAGGATTTACACCCGTGTAACGGGGGGGGGGGGGAGGGGAACTGTTCCATTGATTTACACATATGTATATCCATGGCAAATTTCTGGTTTGAAGGGAAAGCCTTGTTCAGTAATCTGAGCATTAAAAAGCATCTGGCAATGTGGTGGAAAAATGCTGTTTACTCACACTCATATATCTCAGAAACATCCATGTCAAATGTACTAAACTTCCAGAAATTCACCTTTGGGCTGGGAACAAGCATGACCAATTACCAGGTCATATATTTTAAAAAGAATGATAAGCACCTGAATGTAAGCATTTAAACACAAGTTCCATCTCAGCCCTCATTACAGCATCTATCTAAGGGCACGTCTTCACTACCCGCCGGATCGATCTATCAGGGATCGATTTATCACGTCTAGTGTAGACGCGATAAAATCGATCCCCTATCGCTCTGCCGTTGACTCCGAAACTCCACCGCAGCGAGAGGCGGAAGCGGAGTCGACGGGGGAGCGGCAGCGGTCGACTTGCCGCCGTCCTCACTGCAAGGTAAATTGACCTAAGATACGCAACTTCAGCTACGCTATTCACGTAACTGAAGTTGCATATCATAGGTCGACACCCCCTCCCCACGTAATGTAGACCTAGCCTAATAGGCATACAAACAGGGCCAGATTAACCATTAGGCTAATAAGGCTATAGCCTTAGGCCCTCCTATTTTTAGGCCCTACTGGTCAGGCAGGGGGCCTGACCAGGGTGGGAGGGAGAGCAAGCTTGCTCATGTAGCCCTGCTGGAGCTCTCCTGCCAGCAGGAAAGGCAAAGCAGCCCCCTGTGGCTTGGAAGGAGCTCAGCCGGCAGCCTGCTGCCTCTCCCCATGCTGCAGGAACACACTGCCAGGTATCTGGTTAACACTGGTGACCGGACACTAAAAATCCGGTTACCATGGGAACCCGTGCCACTTGTGGGTACAGTTTGAGCAGGCATTGTACCCCCACCCCAGCTCCCCCATCCCTGATTTCTCTGGAGCTCTGCTTAGCTGTCAGGGAGGGTAGAAGCTCCCTCTGTACCACTCCTGGGCGGGAGCTGGCAGGCAGCTCCAGGACGCTGCCTCTTGGGTCCTAGTTCCCATCACCATCATCATCTATATATGCTGGGTCCTGTTTCTGAAGAACTGATGAGTTTTTTCTTTGATGTATTTTTCTGTACTGGGATGCACAGGCAATAAAGTTCTTTCCTCATGCTCAGCCTAGTTCCACAGGCCAGCACATCTTTGTACTTTTAAGGGGTTGCAAAAGCACTGGAGGAAGCTCAACACACAATGTTGTAGGTTTCTCCCTCCCCTCTCCCTCACGGATTTTAAATCCACTTCTTATCAGGCTATGATAGAAAGATTGGCTGAATAGGCTAAAGGCAGGTTCTGTCCATTTGTTGGTTCTCTAGCAGTTTCAATCCATCATGAAAGTACCTCACATTTGACTTCTTTTGAGTTTCATTCCAAAAACATAAAGCTAAATAAACCTGAAGTTAGTCCTCATTTTTCTGCCCCAACTCAAAATAACTTCTTTCCCAAGTGGAAAATGTTGGGTAAGCATGGATTGTGTGTGATTAGAGAAGGGAATGAGAACACAGGCCAATTGCTGCTGATAGTTACACCTGTGTAGCCTTATTGACTTCAGGGAGAACAGATTTTTGCACAAGAATAGATTTTGGTCCCTTCTGCTTTTTCACACCTGGCATAAGCAGAATCTTATTCACTTTTCTCCCCTAAACTCTGAGCACTTTAAGGGGAAAAAAATAAGCAAGGTCTGCTTGACTTAGGGTACGTCTATACTTACCTCCGGGTCCGGCGGTAAGCAATCGATCTTCTGGGATCGATTTATCGCGTCTTGTCTAGACGTGATAAATCGATCCCGGATCGATCCCGGAAGTGCTCGCCGTCGATGCCGGTACTCCTGCTCCGCGAGAGGAGTATGCAGAGTCGATGGGGGAGCCTGCCTGCCACGTGTGGACCCGTGGTAAGTTCGAACTAAGATACTTCGACTTCAGCTACGTTATTCACGTAGCTGAAGTTGTGTATCTTAGTTCGAAGTGGGGGGTTAGTGTGGACCAGCCCTTACACATGCAAACGAAACAGGGAGCTCTCCATTCATTCTACTCAGCCTTAAACAAACACCAGACCTGATGTAACAAGGTGTCACTAGTACAGTAGCCTTGGTTGGACTGTTCTTTTGTAAGAGCCTTAATGGTTCTTTTAAGATGCTGATTTTCAATGAAGTCTTTTTGTTCAGGGGGGCAGAGAACTCAACAGGGAATAGCTCTGTTTTGTCAACTCCTAGTCAATCAAAAACTGAAAGGCTTTAGGTTAAGTTTGTTTAATGTTTGTACAGTGATTTTGAAGAGCTAACATTGTACAGAAGTGCTAAATATTACGACTGGGCAACCAACTAAAGATCTGTGTCACTTCTAGCTGTTGCCTTTTTCTTGCAGAAAGCTTAAAACAAACAAATGCAAACCGTAAGGGTCTGGTGCACACTGAACTCATGCTCAAAAAAATACTCATGTCAGAGCTGCTGATCACACATTCTAGAATAGATAATACTTAGTCCTGCCATGAGTGGAGGAGACCGGACTAGATGACCTCTCGAGGTCCCTTCCAGTCCTATGATTCTATTCTATGATTCTAATTGTGGAAGAACTTGGTGACAGAATAGCCTGATATGATGAATCACTGGACATTAACTGCACAAACTGGGTTCAACGTGAAAACAGTAATTCATTGTCCTCAGCTAGTGCAACACTGGGAGGCAGCTTTCAGAGCAAGACAGCCTAAAATACAATGCCACCCAATGTAATTTTCCCACTGCTACTTCCTCTACTTCAGTGGATTTTACACCTGAGGGGTTTTCTTTTACATAACAAAAGCTGGCTGCCTCCTAGACTGCAGACAGAGTGAGACAGGGTATGTGGTGTAGAGTCCATAGCTTGGGGGAAACACCTGCAGGGCTTGGCTTTGCACTGTGCCATGTGGAGAGCTGAGGGTAGAAGCGCAAGGTTGAAAGAGGTGAGCAGGATGGGGAATGTTGCAGTGTTCATCCTCATACAGATGACCACTCCACTACCTAAGAGGAAGGAGGCCTAAGAGAAGGACAGAGTAGCATCCCTCATGTTACCTCTTACTCAGCAGTATCTGTTTGAAGAATTGAGTGTAATGAGAGTAGAATAAACTTGTTAATTTTACATAAATACATAATATGTAAATATGTATGTACATAAATGTTTGATGACTTCATTATGTTTTTGCAATATGTAATTCCTACGCAGGCCCTTCCCTTCCATTAGCCTTGGGCCCCTCATAACCGTATTCTGTCCCTGCGTACAAAGGTCCATCTCCATGGACCTTAATGAAATTAATCTTCATTTACATTGGCGTAAGGGGAGAGGTCCTCATCATGTATGTATAGCTGAATACGGACATGTCTGTATATTTTAACACAAAACGTAATCTGCCCATCTAGTCATACATATGCCTATGATACTGTAATGTGCCCAGCAGTGTAGCTCCATATCCATCCCGCAAGTCCCCTAAGGGCAGAGAAAGCATCCACAGGAACCATCAGAAGTAACTATCCAACTTCAAGAAATTCTAGAGATGACCTAAATAGCAGGTTTGGACTTAGCATTTAAAGCTGTTTAGGTCTTGGCAGTGCCAAACCTACTGAACTGTCCTTGGGAGATTTTGATCCCTAGTGAAAGAAATGTCCTGATATTAGCTAAAATGGACAGATTTCTGCCATCTAGAATGGTGGAAATCTTCCAAGAACAGATATTCTCATGGTATTTTAGCCATTTTAAGGCCACATCCAAATTGGATCTGGAAAATAGGCCCCTTTAGGGTTTGGATTCAATCAAAAACAAAACCATAGGGGCAAATTTGGGTCAGGATATTTGAACCTTATTCTCCACCAACCAAACTTTAGAAAAGAGGGGCTAGATATGAGGTTCTGCTTTAGGTCCTCCTCTACTTTTATCAAACTGATATCTTAAATCAGATTATAAATTCCACAGAGGTACCTGTTCTGTCGCGAACTGTAGTTGTGATTGTGCTGGAATCAGGTTCCGTCTTAGGCAGGTCTGGGGTAGTCTGTAGAACTGAAAATAAAATCCAATTCCTCTCTGAGCGATTCAATTCAAAGTTGGAATCATTTTTAGGAACAGTATCACTGTATATTGGAACTGGTTGAACAATTAAAAAAAGCTACATGGATAAAACTAGCAAGTTCATTTTCCTGTATATATTAATGAATTATAATTATATTATATTATATAGCCTGTTTAAAAAGTTTCTGCCAATCAGGCAGCAGAAACAATACCATGTGATTCAGACAAACAGCCACAAATTTGTTCATCCAAACACTTTGGCAAATATTCACGAATAACAATTCATTAACTAAAATTGGGGATGAATTGATAATGCACAGTACTGATTGACTACCAGGGGAGATAATTTGTGAATATTTCACAAAAGCTAGGGATAAATTTTTCAAAAGCACCTCAGTGATTTAGGAGCCTAAGTCCCATTTTCAAAAGTACCTAAGGGACTGTTTAAATGGAGGCACTCAGAAAATTAATCTAAATTAACTTTTAAAGTGGATTAGTTAAACTGCATTAAATCCCTGGGTGGACAGTTTTATTCAGAATTAAGGTGGCCTTACTTCAACTTATCTTATTCACTTTCAAAGTTCTGCAGCCTGCATTTAAGCTCCTATCTTCATGACCTTGCTTACACTTGCAGCAGCGTGTAAAGTACATGCAGCTGTGAAAGACTCTGGATGGAGGGAGGCGGCGGGGAAAGGCTCTTTCAACACTGCCTCCCCCATCAGAGCCTTTCCCCACTCCCCCCCCACCCAGAGTCTTTCACTGACGCATGCAGCTACACGCCACACTGTGGAAATAGCCTATCTTTCACTGTGGTGTGTAGCTACACATACCCTACACACCACCACAAGGGTAGACAAGGTCTATAAGAGGGGCGGGGCATAGCATCTCATCAGCATCTCCCATTGGCTATCTTAGGCAACTCCCCACCTAGTGTGCTGGCTTTTGCGAATCACATACCAAGGCACCTATCTCTACTCATTCGTTGTATAGGGAGCCTAGATGCCTAACTCAGGCTGTGTGGCTCACAGTGTTGTTCCTGTGATTTTCTAGGTGTCTAAAAGGTAGGTGTTGTGATGCATCTCACCATCTCACCATCTACATCCTTTTGTGAATCTAGGCGCTTGGTCCTTGGGCGCTTCTGAACATTTTACCTTAGGGCTGTAGTTCAACTCATCCCTCTTGGAGCCCCTTCACACTCACAACCTCTTGAAGTTTTCAAAGTGGTGTGTATCATTTATTCCAATGAAAGTACCAGAGGTGTGTATCTGTGAGGAAATGCTCATATGAGGAAGGATGATTTTGTGATTAAGACACATTGATCTAAATTCAGTTCCTGGCCACTGAGTGTGAACACCTGGGTGCTCAGCACTTTTGAAAATCAGGCAGGTACCTAAATATTGATTTAGGAGCCTCACTTTAGGCTCCTAGTGTTGAAAACCCTAGCCAAAAATCTTGGCTTGATCCTTCTGAGCCTCCTGATTTGTAACATTGGATTAATGATATTTGCCAACCTGAAAAGGTGTGTTGTGTGGATAAATTCATTAATGTTTGGTGAGGTTCTCAGATACAATGATGGGAGCCTCATCTAGACAGATATTTGATCACAAACACACAGACAGAATACATGTGGTTAGGAGACCATTTTAAGTCCAAATTCTGAATCTCAGCATCAGTTACTGTGCAAATAATCCATAGATAGTCATTGTCTGAACAACTTGAGTATATTAGATACAAAAAGTGAAGCTAACCCCTTTAAGGTAGTTCTGTGGCCCCTATTACCATAGTATTTGAGCATCTCAAAATTGTATGGAAGTACAATAACCTGCATTGTATACATGAGAAACTGAGAGACTAAGTGACTTCCCCAAGGTTGCACAGGAAGGTTGTGGCAGAGCAAGGACATGAATTTGGATCTCCCAAGTCCAAGGCTAGCATCTTAACCATTGGGACATCCTTCTTCTCTAATACACTCTAAAATTTAAGGATTTAACACAGTTGGGAAATTCAGAGTTAAAGCGGTCCAGGAAATTCTGCCCCCTTGCTATTATATTGGTCCAATAATACAATGATATGCCAAGGAATTGCATTTTTTTCTACAATATCAGGTACATATGTGGCAGTGGGATTATCACTGGAGTTGTGGTTGTCAATTAATCTCTTTGTGCCTCAGTTCCCCAGCAGTTAAATGGGGCTTATGATACTTATCCTGTGGTTTCTATTTAGATAGTAAATTCTTCAGGGCAGGCAGGAACTTTTACCATGTAATTGTACAGGGCCAGTTCTAGGGGCAGTTGAGCAGGGCAGCCACCCTGGGCATCAGTTTCCAGGGGCAATGAGCCACTGGGCTTTTTTTTTGAGCAGGCCATTTTTGCTCCACCCTGTTTTGTTTTTCACTTTGGCCGTTGTGAGCCGGGGTGCTCCTGGCCCTGTACAATAGGCTCACAAACTCAGGTGGACCCTCTAGGTTCAGTAATAATAAAATGAGCATTCAAGAGAAACAAACAGAACGCCCCCTTTGCTCAACAGAATTTCATAGAGAACCCCAGCATCTTACCTGTTATGTTCCTCTCAGTTGTGGAATTGAGGGTCCCTTGAGAGCCCGGCCTGGGGAAGATCTGTGGAACTGAACACAAGCCCAGATGTTGTTCTCCTGAAGATGAGTCTTAATGCTGCCTATACAACATTTGGTTAATAGCAGTTGTTTGGAAAGGATGTTCATAGCCCATAACACAACTGCATGCCCAAGGGAGCTATCATCTGCCTGGAATAGGGATGAGGAAGATTACAGCATAAAGCTAATGGGAGCAGTAATATCTCTGGTATTCCTGCCAGTAACAACAGCCATCAACACTGGTATAGGCACAGGCTACAATACAGACACAAGCAAAAGTTAAATGGGTAAATACAGAACCCCATATACAGACAGAGTGCAATGAATCATGACTATGGGTCTGAAATTAGTTTGCCATAAATGTTCATAGAACAAAACTTGATTGTCACACATGTCTTTGTACAGCATGTAACACAATGAGGTCCTGGCCCTTGACTTGCGCTCCTAGGAGCTGTGGTAATACAAATAATGATAACATATGTTTGTAAAAAGTGAGTAAGAAGGGGTGCTAACATGGACAAAGAAAAATTCTCTACAGAAATCAGCCACGTTTGTGAATAATTTGTCGGTCAACACTAACTCCCAAAATAAGTGACTTTCCATATTCCAGACACACCTTGTCGATAGAAAATCTCTCCTAGGAATACTCCTGTCTGTGTGGGAATCGTTGCACTTCCCTACCCCCAGAAGAGGACTGGGTCTGCACTGATGATTCAAGCCCTATATGCCCACAGGATGTGTCACTCCCTTTGCTTCACCACCAAGGAAAATGTTGTAACATGCTTTACAAACTGCTGACATGCCCTCTTTCTCCCCCTACCACAGAAACAAATGGAGATACAAGGGAGGTGAGGTAATAACTTTTATTGGACCAACTTCTTTTGGTGAGAGAGATCTTTTATAGAGAGCTCTGTGTGGCTTGAAAACATGGCTCTCTCACCAACAGAAGTAGGTCCAATAACAGATATTACCTCACCCACCTTGTCTCTCCAATATCCTGGGACCCACACAGCTACAGCTACACCGAATACAGAAACAAATGCAATTACTCCTAAGGGCATTCTGCACCAAAATATTTAAAATTCTGAACACTACATTTTAAAATTCTGACAATTTTATTTGTCAGATAAATGTGGAGGCTCCAGCATGGCATTGGGGAGCACAGGCCACTGGCTGCACAGAGGTGGGAGATCACTGTGCAGCTCCTCGCCCCCCTGGGACACAGACTCAGTGGTGAGGCTGCACCCAACCCTGACACAGCACAAGGACCAGGTCTGCCCCAGAAACACCGCAGGGCCCTGCCCCTCCGTGCCAGGTTCACCAGGTGTAGGCAGGCAGGCTCAGCAAGGCAGGATCCAAGTGTGAAGGGGCTTAATGTGGAGGGATCCAGTTGTGGGTTGAGAATGTTCTGTGTGGGGCAATCTGGGTCTGGGCGGCTCAGTGGGGGATCCGGGTGCAGGGGGGATCTGGATGCACAGGGGCTTGTTGGGGGCTTCTGGGTGCAACAGTAATGGGGTTCTGGAGTGGGGTGAAGATGGTTGGGGCTCAGTTGTGGGGGTCTGGGTGTGGGGGAATAGAGCTCAGAAAGGGGATCTGGGTGTGGGGGGCTTAGTGGGGGCTTCAGATGCTGGGGGAGTGGGGCAGGGACCCAAGTATAGCTGGTTGGGGCTCAGTGGGGTGCGGATCTGGGTGTGTGTGGCTCATTGGGGTGGTCCAGATGCAGGGGGAGTGGGGTTCATGGTGGGGCTTCTGGGGGGGGGTGAGGCTCCGTGGGAGGGTCTGGGTATGAGGGGGTTTGGATGCACGGGGGTTGGGCGGATGAGGGAGCAGCTCCCTCTACTGGAATCCCTCCCCCTAGAGCAGAGGAGCAATGGGTGCAGGAAGTGGGGGGAGGGGAAGTTTGCAGAGTTTCCTGCAGCTGGGAGAGAAATCTGGGACTGGGTATGAACCAGCCCCAGATGCCGTGCAGGGGCAGAGGAAGTCCCATCCTCCCCAGCCCAGCTGGGACGAGCAGCTGAGCCTGGTGCAGGGTAGGAGCCACCAGCCGGGTCTTCCCCAGTCCTGCCTCCTACCCCACAGTGATTTATCTCTCTGCAGGCTGTGCTGGGCACCTGAAACATACTGCTGGGGAGGGTTGCATGACCACTCTTGTGGCAACCTTTTTCTTCCCTATCAGAAAGTCATTTTTCTGAGGGGAAGCAAAGAAATTAGCGAGGGACATAAATTCTGCGCATGTGTGGTGGCGCAGAATTCCCCCAGGAGTAAAATGCTCAGTTTTTCTCTATGCCTCTGTGACCCAGGCAGAAACTGTCAGCTATCAGAGAAAGAGGAAACTCCATCTGTGAGATCACTTAGTGCAAGTAGGAGTAAAAAATCCCCTTAGCTAAAACAATAACTCCTTGGAAAACAAATTTTTCCCTTCCCCACTATGAATCCTTTCTATCCAGGGCACATATTGGGTGGGTTGTGATCCATTTCTCAGTTCACAGAGATGAGGAATTCTGCAGATGAAGCATCAGGAATCACTCTAAAGTGACTCTGTCTGACCATTCTTGGAGAAATGGGGGAGGGATAGCTCAGTGGTTTGAGCATTGGTCTGCTAAACCTGGGGTTGAGAGTTGAATCCTTAAGGGGGCCATTTAGGGATCTGGGGCAAAAATCTGTCTGGGGATTGGTCCTGCTTTGAGCAGGGGGTCAGACTAGATGACCTCCTGAGATCCCTTCCAACCCTGATATTCTAAGTGTTGGTGGCCACTGGAAAGCATTTTACTCAGGTTTCCTAAGTGAATGTGAAAAAGAGGGTCTTATACTAAGGTGACAGGGAAACATAAATATAACAATCCTAAACTAAGGCTGGTAGTAGAGAAAGGAGAAGAGATGTATTATGACATGGGAGATGGAGGCTGAAGTTACACATGAAATGGTATTACCAAGTGCAGCTTCACCAGTTAATTAATCTAAAAGTTTGCTATTACCCTTCTGGGTTTAGATCCCAAGGACAGCAGCCCAACACATGTACTTTATTATGTATCTCACTCTTTACTATTATAGTGCACACTATCTAAAAGAACACACAACATTGTGCAGTCATGGTTTCAGTTCTTTTTCACTCACAAGGTACATTAAAGTGCACATTATGAATGGCTTACTCATACAAAGTATCAGAGGGGTAGCTGTGTTAGTCTGTATCCACAAAAACGAGGACTCCTGTGGCACCTTAAAGACTAACAGATTTATTTGGGCATAAACTTTTGTGGGTAAAAAACCTCACTTCTTCAGGTGCATGGAGTGAAAATTACAGATGCAGGCATAAATATACTGACACATGAGGAGAAGGGAGTTACCTTACAAGTGGAGAACCAGTGTGAACAAGGCCAATTCAGTCAGCGTGGATGTGGTCCACTCTCAATAACTGATGAGGAGGTGTCAATACCCAGAGAGGGAAAATTGCTTTTATAGTGAGCCAGCCACTCCCAGTCCCTATTCAGGCCCAAATTAATGGTGTTAAATTTGCAAATGAATTGTAGCTCTGCAGTTTCTCTTTGAAGTCTGTTTGTGAAGTTTTTTTGTTGAAGTATGGCTACTTTTAAATCTGTTATTGAATGTCCAGGGAGATTGAAGTGTTCTCCTACTGGCTTTTGTATGTTACCATTCCTGATGCCTGATTTGTGTCCATTTATTCTTTTACTTATACAAAGTCATGCAGCAAAGAGGAGTTGTTGGGTTACCTCAGGATGCTGCTCAGCTCTTCAGCGAGCCACAGAGAAGTATTCCTAGGACACATCACCACTGCCTAGATCCAATCCCAGCACCATTCTTGGGGGTATTTTGTGCCTAGTTTGGTTTGTGTGAGATGCTGAGATTCACTGTAATATCCCACACTAGACAACACAGACATTAAAATATCAGCTACTAGAAGAACAGTGCTATAAAATCAATAAATAATAACTGAAAATTACAAATGCACATCAATACTCACAATAGATGAGAAACAAGGATGTCCCTACTAGTTTAATGGGCAGGATGACTAATCCAAGAATGACCAGTTGCCAGTTCATCTTGCCCCTGTGGAATGATCTGAAAGTTTAGAACATCCTTGCTTAATGTACACTGGCACTTCTCAACACTGGACAGAATGGGTCAAATTTCAAACTAAACCATGAGAATTTAGACAGTCAAAATGGTGTTTATCAATTACATTGCATTACTCGTGAAGAAAGTTTTTACTAAATTTTAGTAACATAACAGAGTAGGTATCTAATAATAGTTACCTATTAATAAAAGCTCCCCACTGTTCAGTTCCTGTTTGGTAGATGGTGGTATATCAGACTAGATGGGCCTGTAGCACCATATCCTCACTTGTATAAATCAGCATAGCTCCACTGAATTCCACGGAGTTGCACCAATCTATGCCAGCTGAGTATCTCGTCAATAGTGTGCTTCCCAATAGGGCAGGTAGCTAGATACTGGGCTAGATAGTATATGTTCTGAGGACCCTGGAGCTAAATGCATGGCTGTGTGGATGGTATTGCCAAAGGGGCTTCGGCTTCCTCAGCCGTGGGGTGCTGTTCCAAGAAGAAGGACTTCTGAGCATATATGGGGTCCATCTATCAAGGAAGGGGAAGAGTATCTTTTGATACAGACTGGCTAGGCAGGCTTTAAACTAGGTTTGATGGGAGCAGGAGACAAAAGGCCACAGGTAAGTCCAGAACATGGAGACCTGGATGAAGGGTCAGAATCTGGGGGGAACATGAGCAATCACAGTGCGGACAAAGGAGAGACCAGAGGGAATATAGAGGGAAAATTTAATGAACATCTTAGAGGTCTGCATTCTAATGCAAGAAGTATGGGAAATACACAGGAAGAACTAGAAATACTAGTGAAAAACCACAATTACAACACAATTGGCATCATAGGTTCATTCACATGACTGTAATACTGCCTAGTGTAATAAGGATTAAGATTTAGATTGTGCACTTATTTTTATTTTCTTTGGTGACCATCTCTGTCCTTTTATGTCTACCACTTATAATCATTTAAAATCTATCCGTAGTTAATAAACCTGTTTTATGTTTTACCTAAAGCAGTGTATTTGGCTTGAAGTGCTTGGGAAACCTCAGCTCAGGAACAAAAACTGGTGCATGTCCTTTCCACATTGAGGGAAGGTTGGACTGGGTAATAAAGGTACACTGATCAGGCTTCTGACCAGTGCAAGATGGTACAGCTCAGTGTTGCATGGTTAGGATCTGGGGGAACTGCCTGGAGCGTCTCTATTGTTAGTTAACGAGTGTCTGGGGAAAGCATTCATGTAACTCAGTTGGGTGTGTCGCTGCCTGTGGATGCAAAAAAAGCGAACGTCATTCTGGGATGTATTAGCAGGAGTATTGTAAGCAAGATGTGAGAAGAAATTCTTACACTCTGCTCAGCAGTGGTAAGGCCTCAACTGGAGTACTGTGTCCAGTTCAGAGCATGACACTTCAGGAAAGATGTGGACAAATTGGAGAGAGTCCAGAGGAGAGCAACAGAAATGATTAAAGGTCCAGAAAACATGACCTATGAGGAAAGAGTCTAAAAATTGGGTTTGTTTAGTCTGGAGAAGAGGAGATTGAGGGGGGACATGATAACAGGCTTCAAGTATGTTAGAAAAAAGAGGGTAATAAATTGATCCCCTTATCTACTGAGGAGAGGACAAGAAGTAATGGGCTTAAATTGTAGCAATGGAGATTTAGGTTAGACATTAGGAAAAACTTCTTAATTGTAAGGGTAGCTAAGCACTGGATGTGACAGTGTACCCCATAAGGCTTTATGGGGGGGGTGCTTATAAATGTATGTATGACATAGCTGGAATATATTTTGTGCTGCCTGTGCCATGTAACATATCTCTGTAAAGGTTATAGTCTACTGTATCTATTCATCCTATTTGTACATATATATAATTTTCTACTTGAGGTTAAGAATATGGGCTGTATGCTTGCTTGGTTTCTAAGTCAGCTTTGTGAGTCATTTCATCAGCTTCTTTAGGAAGGAATTCGCAAGGTTAACTACCTGATCAGGAAACACTTGGGGAACAATGCATCTTAGAATGCTCCAATCCACATAAGAAGTCTTCCTGGAGACATACAAGATACCAAGTGGACAATGGCTTCGGCCTGTAAAGACTGAGTCATGCAGGGACATGTGACTTGCCCAGGTGACTCCAGAACTCCATCTTGGAGCTGGACTTTGCATAGGAGTGAGGAGGGGGGTCTCCACCCACAAGAGAAAGTCTATTTAAACCCGTGGGAGACCCCTCCATTTGGTCTTTAGCTGGCTAAAGAAGGAGTCTCTCCACCCCCCCGCTCCATCCCCAGGATACTTGAAGGAAACTGGAACAAAGGACAGTAACTACAGGGGGTGTGAGTGATTGCTGGACCCAGGCTAAAAGGAGATTAGCCTGTAAAAGGGGAGCATTCTGGAACTGGTGAGGATCTTATCTGTATTTAGTTTGATTAGACATAGATTTGCGCATTTTATTTTATTTTGCTTGGTGACTTACTTTGTTCTGTCTGTTACTACTTGGAACCACTTAAATCCTACTTTCTGTATTTAATAAAATCTACTTTTTACTTAGTAATTAACTCAGAGTGTGTATTAATACCTGGGGGAGCAAACAACTGTGCATATCTCTCTATCTGTGTTATAGAGGGCGAATAATTTATGAGTTTACCCCGCATAAGCTTTATACAGGGTAAAACAGATTTATTTGGGTTTAGACCCCACTGGGAGTTGGGCATCTGAGTGCTAAAGACAAGCACACTTCTGTGAGCTGTTTTCAAGTAAACCTGCAGCTTTGGGGCAAGTAATTCAGACCCTGGATCTGTGTTGGAGCAGATAGGAGTGTCTGGCTCAGCAAGTCAGGGTGCTGGAGTCGTGAGCTGGCAGGGAAAACAGGAATAGAAGTAGTCTTGGCACATTAGGTGGCAGCTCCCAAGGGGGTTTCTGTGATCCAACCCGTCACACTGGAACAAATTACTTAGGGAACGTGTGGAATCCCCATCAATGGAGCTTTATCAGAACAGATTAGACAAACACCTCAGTGATAGTCTAGATAATACTTAGGCCTGTCTCAGGGCAGGGGACTGGACTAGATGACCTATCAAGGTCCCTGCCTGTCCTATACCTCTATGATTCTATGATGTCAGCTCCTATGTTCAGGAATGTGCTGGGATGCCAACACTATATTTTTAAAATTCAGTTATTTAACACCTATGCAAATAATTAAATCCTTCTTTAGACACCATCCTTGTCTTGAACTCAATCGCTCATGTGACAATACATTGTAATTTTACTATTATATTAGATAGATAGATAGATAGATAGATAGATAGATAGATAGATAGATAGATAGATAGATAGATAGATAGATAGATAG